CACAGATAGAAAGGGTACTAACACCTTCCCTTTCTATAATCTACCCCCCCGTACTCAGAAACATCTCGAAAAAAATGTTTTTTCTGTTCTTTTTCCCTTTTCCTTTGTTGGATGAAATAAAAGACGGTGGCGACTCTTGCTTATCGTACATTTGCAAACAAAAAACGCAAAACCAGTAGTAACAAAAACAGTCGGTTATACCACCGTATCACAGAACTGGCGACTCTACTGGGGACTATAAATAAAGTGGGGTTTACCTTAGGATCTATGTCATCTTTAAATTGCTTTCTTGTTTGTTTTCCTTACTTTATCTTTAAGGGTTTTTTGTTTGGGTATTGCTGAAGATCCTACACCCGGATCTAGGGGCACTTTTTAGGTAAACAATAATAGTTCGTGGAGATTGTACGATGTAGACCGATATGGTTTAAGCGATGGTTTTGTTGGTGTGACACTTTGATTGGTACCAGTATCCTTCGTGTGGAAACGAGGAGAATACGGGGCTGCCGCATGGTGTCGTGAAGCACTAACGGACCTTAGAGACTTAGTCGAACAAACTTGGCCATTAGAAAGTAGTGAGATGGCCGGCCTCGGTATAAAGCTGAGGATTGGTTGATACTCGATGCTACACTCATTGAGAACAGACTTTCAGAATATTTCGGCCGTAAGAAAAGATTTTCTGAGCTGAAAAAATGCCCGATAAAGGATGATCAGTGATATTGAGAATCCTTAGAACCCGGTTACTTTTCTAAGACAGGTTTGAAACCAACTAAACTTCAAGAGGGTACGTACCTTTAACCTCATCCAAGCCTTTGAACCTAAGGTATATTGTGTGCTTTGCTTGTGTGTGATTTACTCTGTTTGAACATAGCATCATGCATCATAACATAGCATCCATTCTCATTACACTAACCATTTCAAGGACCAAGGGAATTTATCTTTATTCTGTTTTGCAGATCATGGCTTCCGCTCATAGAAACACTATCCGAATTAGCTTTATGAGAATACCTCTCCAACTCAAGAGCTAGTATCAAGGGTTCCTGAAACTTCTTCGTTCACTAAGAGATATGGTCGACTTCTCAACCTGGTTGCTTCGAGATTTGATGAAAAGATGATGGGTGTACTTTTTCAGTTCTTTGATCCCAAGCACCACTGCTTCACCTTTCCAGACTATCAGTTGGTGCCTACCATGGAAGAGTTTTCTCAGTTATTAGATCTACCTATTCTTGACCAGGTGCCTTTCACAGGTTTAGAAGAGGTTCCTAAGCCAGAAGTCATTGCCTCAGCTTTACATCTGAAACGGGCCGACGTGGTATCCAATTGGGAAACAAGAAGCGGAGTCAAGGGTTTTCTAGCCAAGTTCCTAATAGAGAAGGTCCAACTGTTTTGGGATGATTTAGACTTTCAGGTTTTTGAGGAGGTCTTGGCTCTTCTAATTTATGGGTTAGTGTTGTTCCCTAATCCAGACTTATTCATAGATGTGAATGCTATCAAGATCTTCCTCTCTCGCAACCATGTGCCTACTTTGCTCGGAGATATCTTGCATGCTCTCCACACTCGTACTATGAAGAGAAGAGGGGTTCTGATGTGCTGCATGCCATTACTGTCGAGGTGGTTTATTTCTTACCTCCCTAAGTCAGTACTGAAGAATGAAGAAGGTTTGGGTTGGTCACAAAGAATAATGTCACTTTCTCACGCGGATATTCTCGTGTATTCCCGATCTATGAGATATATTTCTATTATTGACCGCTGCGAGGAATTCCCTAATGTCACACTACTTGGCATTAGGGGAGGCATAACTTACAATCCTTGTTTGGCTCTGCGACAATTTGGTTACGCTCGAAGGGATGGTCCTCATGAGATGCTTATCCAGGGCATTGTGTTTAACTATGAGGATGATGTTCAAGGGTATCGCCAGAGGTTCATACGAGCCTGGGGCATGGTAAACAAATATGACTTCAAGACTTTGGGGCCAAAGACTTCCATTCCTATGGAAACCTATCTCCAATGGGTACGAGCTCGTGCTCAGAAACTTATGATGCCATACATAGTTGTCCTACCAGTGATTGTGGAGCCCATTAATGAAGGGGATATTCCTTACACGATTCTTCATCCTTATATGCCCACCGATCTTGAAGAATTATAGAGATCCTGGATTCAGTTAAAGAAGGAGCGGGATACTTATAGGGACCAGTTCTATGCCCGAGAGAAGAAATTTTTAGAGCTCACAAAGCAGCTTCATGAGGAAAGAAGCCTTAATGTCTATCTCGGCACGAAGAGGAAGCTCATTCTGTTGCCTCTAAGCAGCAACGTATTCACAAAACTCATTACGTTGCCTCTAAGCCGTAACGTATTCGCAAAACTCATTACGTTGCCTCTAAGCCGCAACGTATTTGCAAAACTCATTACGTTGCCTCTAAGTCGTAGCGTATCTGCAAAACTCATCAAGTTGCTTCTAAGTCGCAATGTATTTGCAAAACTCATTATGTTTCTTCTAAGCCGCAACGTATTCGCGAAAACTCATTACATTTCCTCTAAGCCACAATGTATTTGCAAGACCCATTACATTGCCTCTAAGCCGCAATGTATTCACAAAACACAACATGTTGCCTCTAAGCCGCAACATATTCTCGAAGACCCATTACATTGCCTCTAAGCCGCAATATATCGTCCGACTCAAACACATTACCTCTAAGCCGCAATGTATTTGCAAAACTCATTATATTGCCTCCAAGCTGCAATATATTTTCCAACTCAAAACACATTGCCTCTAAGCCGCAATGTATTCACAAACTCAGGGCGTTGCCTCTAAGCCGCAATGCATCCTCAAAACTCAACACGTTGCCTCTAAGCCGCAATGTATTCACAAAACTTAGCATGTTGCCTCTAAGCCGCAACATATTCTCAAAGATCCATTACATTGCCTCTAAGCCGCAATGGATTCTCAACACTCCGTACGTTGCCCCTAAGCCGCAACGCGTTGCCCAAACTCAGTATATTGCTTCTAAGCCGCAATATATCCTCCAAGCTACGTACGTTGCCTCTAAGCCGCAATGAATTCTCAATACCCCATTACCTTGCCTCTAAGCCGCAAGTGAATCCTCAACACTCCGTACGTTGCCTCTAAGCCGCAACACATTGTCAGAACTCAGTGATATATCATCATATTTTCCTATTCTCTTCAAAACTCTTAAGGGTATGCTATATCAGCGTAACCTCATATGGCCAACTCTTAAGGGCATGCTATATCAGCATAACCTTATCCAGCCAACCCTTGGGGGTATGCTATATCAGCGTAACCCTATCTAGCTAACCTTTGGTCAAATTTTAGGGTCTTCCATTATTTAATAAATCTCCTATTCGAATGAACAAAGACCTACGTATGCTTGCGCCATTCAATCGAAGACATATTAAATAGGGGCAACTGTCATACCCGAAATTTGCATGCCTTAGTGCTACCGTCAAACTTATTTTCGAATTTGGGTGTTACAGATATAAAATTCCTTTGATTTAATTATATTAACATTCTGAGTTTTTTTTAATAAAATTTTTTGCTTTCAAGTCTATTTGAAAATATAATAATTATTTGTATTTAAAAAAATAATAATAATAATTGTTCGCTGTCATGTACTTTCAATTGGCTTTTTACTTTTGAATAAGTAACATAGCACAGTTGGTAAGTCAGAAAGACTAACAAGTAGAAGGTCACAAGTTCGAATCTCACTCGGTCCACTTTGGATATTTTTGTTGTTACTAACTTTATTTTCATTTTCTAAACCACAAAAATCGTATTTTTTATTATTAAATTATTATTTTCGTATTTATTTATTTATTATATTTTGAAAATATTATTTTTTATTAAAATATTAATTTTATTTAAAAAATGGTCAAAATATCTTATAAATAAATAGAATCAATTTTACTCTATATCAAATTTTGCACATGGACGCAAATATGTACATATTCTTAATTTTGCTGGCCAAGATGAGAATTTGGGCTTTGGAGGTTGGATACTTCATTTTTTGGATTTTAACCTAATTTTTTCACTTATAAATAATCCTAAAAACTTATCAACAAGGGGAGAGAAACATCTAGAAATATCAACAATCATCAAGAATTTCACAATTACACAACTCATCGACTTACATTTTTTTCTTTTTGTTTATTCTAGGGTTGTTGTGTATATCAGACAACAACTACTCTTGGTCAATGATTTTATATGAGGCCCTTTTTATTTTATTTGATTTTTTTCTTGATCATAATTTATTTTGTTGATTAAATCGTGTGACTAATATGTTCTGATAGTTTGTATTTAGAAAAGTAATATGCTTGTCATAAGAATTTATATAAATGCTTCTCCCTAATTTTCACTAAAATCTTTCAAACAATTTTTCTAAACACTGAGTGTGTTTTTACGGTCTATACAACACACTCAAGCTGCATATTCTTTTTCATTAATTAGATTATAGTTTATGGTTTGGAAGGAATTCACTTTGACTTACAATTCCTTAATGGGAACCCTTTTCTTTTCACATATTGCAGAACCGCTAATTTTTTGTTTCAAATCCTATTTTGTACATATTGTTTTACAGCGAAAAATATTATGTTGTTATTATTTGTTTGACTTTTCAACACACAATTTTTCAGTTTCTAATCATAAACCAGTAAACTTTCATCACCATAAACATGTTGAATTTCTTTTCTACAGTGGAAATTTTGCAGGAAGCATGAAAAGCTGGAAAATTGAAAAAAGAAGAAGAAGTCAGAACAAACAACAACTCAAGTTCAAAATTAGACACAAAAAGAAACAGAAGGAAGAAATCGCCTATCAACTTGCATCGACGCTCCACCTGTAACATAAACGGTAGCCTGAGTACGAAGCATTCTGATTCCGAACAGTCTGTAAAAACAGTCACTCCGAGGACCTCCAACCGCCCGACCATACGACATACGACCTCCTCCGCAGTCAGCCACCAATGAACTCATATTCATCACCCACTCCGATGCCCCTCGATTTTGTAAGCTTCGACCTCCTCACAACAACCGCCAACAACAACCTTTCGAAGCAAACTCCCCCGGACAATCACAACACCACAAATTTTGATTCAACAACAACAACATCACACCATTCAACCCTCATCTCCGCGATCTCAAACCCACCGCCACGTCACCTCCTCCGACGAATCACCGATTACCTCCACCATCCTCGTCTGCCTGGCGCTAACGAAGCACCACTATACCGGTCGCACGCTGCCGTATGCATCGAGTCCGGCGAAGCCCATCGCCATTTCCCTGTGACGCAGCGCCATGTTCATCACTGCTCTGGAATCAGGTCTGGTTTTCTTTTTGAGTTATGAGATTTCACTATTGTTTTCTTCTCTTTTTCTCTAGGTGTCGTTGGCATGCATAATAGGGAAGATGAATTGAGAGGAAGGGACCGCCGCTAGAAAGAAGAAGAAGAAGAAGGATGTTATTTGTGTTTCTGTTTTATTTTTTTACTGTGCTTGTATATATGTTGTTTTTGCTTTTTTGGTTCTTATTGTGGTTACATTCACGTGCCAAATGTCAAAATTCTATTGGATAGTAAAAAAATAGAAAGGGTCCGCATGTGACCTTGTGTTTTTTTAGAGCACATCCACAGTACATCATCTATATCTGTTTCTCTCTTTTGCTGTTACTCCACACTTTTTTTCTTTTTCATTATTGGTTTATTTTAGTGAAGTAGGATTGGAATGGGTTTTGTTAGATGGGCTTGTAGAGTCATTTGTGGGCTTAATACTTTTCTACCATTTACATCATATTTCTAACTTGGCACCCCTAGTTTATCTGTTTTACCTGTTTTTATTTAATTAGATTAGTTAATAATTTTAGTTAAACATATCATTAGAATCAGCTAATTTCATACAAAAATAGATAACTCATAATTTTTTTTAATTAAATTAATTAGTTCAAACATTTTATACATAATAGGATATCCACCTTCGAGTAATTAAATCGGTTGGCACATTATTTACCGGTTTATTTCACTAAATCAAACAATACAAAAAATCACGCAATTTACCAATGTGCGACACATGGTCAATATTTGGCCACGTGATGAGAACACGTAAGGAGGAGACTATATCAGACTCCCCCCAAGTCTTAATCAAATCAAATACCAAAACAGCTAACCAATTACAAACCATCTTTTTTCTACTAACATAATCAAAACTCAAGATTACTTTCGAAAAAGGATTAAGGAGAATTATTTCAAATTAACTGCGAACCAAGTCTACAATCACTCAATTCACAACCCAGACAAAGTTCAAGGATTAATTCGAAAGAGATTCTGCGTAATCTATAAAAAACACCAATCAAAATACGAACTACGAATTGAGACTCTGATTCCTCAAAAGAGGATACGTAGGCACGCGATCTAAAATCGTGGCGAGTCTTACTAATTAAAACTTAAAACCCTGTTTATCCCAAACCTAAACTTAGAGCTTAATATCCCTGTGAACAAGGTGGATGAAAGGTGCCTAACACCTTCCTTTCGTCTAATTGATTCCGAAACCTAGAATCTCTGTCCGTGAATTAGGGTTTTCTGTTAGGTTCCCTTCCCTAGGATAAAAACTAAAAGTGACGACTCTTGATCAAAAAACCAGTTGCTACACAACCTTGAAGGAGGCTCCAAAGAATCCCAACACCACATCTCCTCGGTACAATCCAAACGCTCGGTGTGCTTACCATTCTGAGAGTCCAGGCCACGATACAAACGACTGTTGGGCTCTGAGGAATAAGATACTGGATCTGATCGAAGCAAAGGAGATTGAGTTTGATGCTCCTGAGAAGCCTAACGTCATAACTGCTCCCAAGCCCAAGCACAACCGTGGTGTTAATGTCGTTGATACTGATCTATTTGTTAATTTTGTTGATGAAGTTTCCACTCCTCTCATGACCGTCAAGAAGAATTTGTTGCTGGTCAGTTTATTTCCGGGTTGTGGTGAAGGTTACCACATGTGTCTATTTCTGCCTTCTGGTTGTTATTTGCTGAAAGCAGGTGTTCAACGCCTGATGGATAACCGAGAGATTTTGTTCGAAAGGACTCTATTTTCGACTGTCCTACATGAATATGTTGCTATCATAACCATTTCCGCCAATCCTTCCAAGTTCTCCTCCAAAAGACCTGTTAGGATTACACTTGCTCCAAGAATTGCTCTATTAATAATCACTTTTCCTGGCCCTGTGTCGTACTCCTTGAACAAAGTTGTTCCTTGGAATTATGGTGTTGACATTTACTACCATGGCGTCAAGCAGGATTTGAAGACTGAAGAGGCTGATCCCGATATCAGTAACATTGTCGGGACCAACAAATTTACTCGAAGTGGAAGGGTTTTATCTCTCGAGATCTCCCCGAAGACTGTTGTTAAGCCTGTTGTTATTCCATCTGTTATTCCTGCTAGTACTTCTTCTACTACTCCTATCCTTACTCCAGTTATTATCCCTGCCGATGAGTCATCTGGGACTCGGGGTAAAGAAGTTGTGGGTGAGCCTGCCCGGACGGAGGCACCTAGAAAAGTTATTTTGGAATCCTCTAAACAAGAAATGGAGGAAATTTTAAAAATAATTAAGAAGAGTGACTACAATGTGGTCGAGCAGCTGGGGAAGACCCCTTCAAAGATATCAATGTTGTCTCTGATATTATGTTTTGAGGCCCATGCAAAGGCTTTGATTACATTTCTCAAGACTGTGCATGTGCCGCAAGAAACCTCTGTTGACCAATTTAAAGACTGTGTGGCCAGTTTAACTGCAGATAATGGGTTGGGTTTTTCAGATGCTGATTTGACACCAAAGGGGAGAACGCATAATGATGCTTTGCATGTCTCGATCGAAATCAAGGTCACTACCATGTCCCATGTGCTGGTGGACACTGGATCGTCATTGAATGTTCTGCCCAAGAAGGCTCTTGATAGGCTAGATTGTGAAGGTTTGACCTTAAAGCCCAGTAACATTGTGGTGAGGGCTTTCGACAGTTCAAAGAGAATGGTGCACGGGGACGTAGACATCCCTGTCAAAGTGGGTTCCCAGACCTTTGAATCCACCTTCTACGTGATGGACATCAAGCCATCTTATTCTTGTCTGTTGGGTCATCCTTGGATCCATGAAGCTGGAGCCGTTACCTCTACGCTACACCAGATGTTGAAGTATCCAGTGAAGGGGAAGATTATCACTGTGCATGGTGAATAGCAGTACATGGTAAGCCACCTGAACTCTTTAAGGTACATGGAGATGGACGACGAGTTCATAGAGACCCGTTGTAAAAATTTTGAAGAGGTTCCTCAGATTATGGCATCAACCGAGACTATCACTAGTGCGCCGAAGATCACCAAACCTCCTTTGAAGCTGGATTCTCTCAAGGACGCTAGAGCAGTAATTAAAGAAGGAGCTCAAAGGGCTGTTCGACGTGCTCGGGCTGGAGGACCTCCCCTATGCATCAGAAATCATGGGGTCAACACTATAGAAGACAATGATGAGGATTCTGATATTGACATCTGGATCTACCCTACTACCAACAGTGGACCTAGTAACTGGACGGCCAAGGATTTTGTGCCGATTACTTTTGTTCAGCAGTAACTATCTTACTTGTTTTTCGAATTTGTAATAAACAATATAAACTCTATGGCTTTGTGTCCTACCCGAGGCACAATGGTTTATGTGTGAGGGTTATTATATGTCATTATCATATGTCATCAATAAAATATTGGGCGTTTCTTGCATTCAAATTTTGCGCTCTCTATTTTTCTTTTCTGCCTTTTACTTTATCAATACAGTTATGCTCTTACACACACTCACATAATCAAATTGTAGATCCATATCCACTCTGGATCCCATTGATAACAGTTCTGCTATTTCCAGTTATAACTTCGAAAATCCGATCAACCAAGCCGAGGACGAAGGTGGGGAAGATTGTGAGATACCTGGAGAACTTGCTAGACTATTACAGCAGGAGGAGAGGGCTATACAGCCCCATGAAGATCCAGTTGAGATGATAAATTTGGGCACAGAGGTAGATAGAAAAGAAGTCAAGGTCGGCGCAAATCTGGAGGTTAATGTCAAACAGCAGTTGATACATATGTTGCACGATTATGTTGAGATCTTCGCCTGGTCATATGAAGACATGCCTGGTTTAGACACATATATAGTGGTTCATCGTCTGCCGACTAAGGAATATTTCCCTCCAGTAAAACAGAAGTTTCGTCGTATGCGCCCTGAAATGTCAGAGAAGATCAAAGCAGAGGTTATGAAATAGTTCAACACCGGGTTCCTAACTGTCACCTCCTACCCGCAGTGGGTTGCTAACGTTGTTCCGGTACCTAATAAGGACGGTAAGGTACGAATGTGTGTGGACTATAGAGATCTGAACAGGGAAATCCCCAAGGAGGACTTCCCGCTTCCCCATATCGATGTTCTGGTTGACAACACCGCACAACACAAAATCTTTTCCTTCATGGATGGTTTCTCTGGTTACAACCAGATCAAGATGGCACCCGAAGACATGGAGAAGACAACCTTCATCACACAGTGGGGCACTTTATGTTACAAGGTGATGCCTTTTGGGTTGAAGAATGTTGGGGCAACCTATCAGCGAGCCATGGTAGCTCTGTTCCACGATATGATTCACCATGAGATAGAGGTTTATGTTGATGACATGATAGCCAGGTCTCAAATCGAGGAAGAGCATCTTGATCATCTACAAAAGCTGTTTGACAGGTTGAAGACATACAAGTTGAGGTTGAATCCGAACAAGTGCACCTTCGGGGTAAGGTCTGGTAAACTTCTGGGGTTCATCGTCAGTGACAAAGGTATTCAGGTAGACCCTGCAAAGGTGAAGGCCATACAAGAGATGTCGGCTCCCCGTACTGAGAAGGAGGTTAGAGGTTTCTTGGGATCCCTAAATTATATCGCCAGATTCATTTCACATCTGACTGCTACTTGTGAGCCAATCTTCAAGCTCCTGAAGAAAGATCAAGTAGTAAAATGGAATGACGAATGCCAGAATGCTTTCGAAATAATCAAGGAATACCTTCAAGAACCACCAATTATGATGCTTCCGATTGAAGGAAGACCTTTGATATTATACTTAATGGTGCTAGACAATTCAATAGGGTGTGTGTTGGGGCAGCATGACGAGTCTGGTCGAAAAGAGCACGCAATATACTACCTTAGCAAAAATTTTACCGACTGTGAAACACGATACTCACTGCTCGAGAAAAAATGTTGCGCTTTGGCATGGGCTGCTCGCCGACTAAGACAGTATATGTTGACCCACACCACTTTGCTGATATTTAAGATGGATTTGATCAAGTACATCTTCTAG